TCTTCACGTAAGTTCTCCGGATTCTCATCGTCTAATGCCGGTATGGAAACATCATGCCACTCATCGTGATCGCGTCTAACCTTCGACTGATTCACACGTACCACTGCCTCACCAGTGTTGGCTTGGACCATAGCTCCTTCTTGTCCAAGTACTGTGGCACGAACCCAACGTCCTTTATCCTTGAACTTTGATGAATCCTGAGTCCAAATAAAAACCTTCTCTCCTTGGAAATAAGGACCGTCACTTGGCATAGTCCTTCTTGCAAGATCTGCTCGAAGGTCCTGAGCTTGTCGTGCTTCTTGATGAGCTCTCAAAGCCACACGTTGTAGTTCCAAATTTGTACGATCTTGTGCGGCGGCATTAGCTGACAATTGCTCAGGGCTTGCGGTCTCAAGGTCAAAAAGATCTGGTGGACGTCTTCCAGTTGCTATCTCTATTGGTGAGTATCCACTGATAGTCAACTGACAATTTCTTGCCCAAACTACTTTCTTGACCACTTCTCTGACCGTAACACCACGAAAACGTGGGTCATCCAGATCTACCTTCATAACATGCCACATACGTTTGAACAAACGTACAGCTGTCTCTGCTCGGTTCGGCCAAGGAGTTCTTGGCCCACAAGGACATTGTTGTATACCATGGAACCTGTAGTATTCAACAAAAGCATCGGTGAAAAAGGCTTCGTCTCCTACGATGGCCTTCGGAACACAGTTGTTCTCATCAGACCATTGCCTCAATGCTTGGATGGTGGTTTGATCTATGAGGTCTTTCTGTGCCGTAGCCCAGAGAAGATTTGTGGCACCATCAAGAACAAGTAAGATGATATACTTGTTCTTGTGAAGTTCAACCTCACAATGATCAGCAAAAACAACATCACCAAAACATGAAGCTCTAATACCGGAGACTCTGGCTCGTGGCGGAGGTGCCACTGAAGTGTTACAAACACGGCAGTTCCTGACAACTGATTCATACTTCTCTAAAACAGAGTCAGGAAGCTTCAACATAGAAACACGTCTACGAAACTGAGTAGGACTCATATGGTAGTGCTTCACATGAAGCTTATAAAGCTCTACCTTGTCCTCCAGTCTCTGTAACATCTTCCTATATGCCGGTGTCATTGCAACAACTTCACTACCAGGTAATGGGATTGAAATCCGCCTAGGCTCAAGAGCGCCATCACCTGGTTCAAGTGGTTCATGTTTATCACTTGATGGTCCTTTTGATGCTTTAGGAATTTCTACAAGTTCACCTTCTGGCCTCTCAGGTGGTTCTGAGGGAGCATACTCCTCAAGATCATCACCCTTTAAATCATTCTGAGGCTCAGATGGTTTCGACTTGTGTCCCTTCCAAAATGGATCAAAACCCTTGGAAGTATACCGAAACTTTGGCGGCACGGGCTTTTCCGCGGCACTGGATGGTGCACCTTCCTTCTCTGAAGAGAAGCCTGGTTCCCTGTCCTTTGCAATGGGAACCTTCTCTGAGGAGGAGCGCACCACTGCATCGGGATCACCAATGCCACGGTGCTCATGCCAGCCTTCCTGATCTTTAGATCTGGAATTTTGGCATCTGGCTTGAACTTAAAAATTGTTCTACCACGCCATTCATAGCCAATTTGTAGGTCCTTCCATTTTGCCTTGCGCCAATCATCTTGCTTCTTGATCTCTTCTCCTCCTTTCTTCTTCTTGATGATTGTCAGTCGCAAGTCTTCCAGTAAGTCAGTGTCTACAGGACAGGACTTAGTCGCTGGAAAAAGAATCTTTCTATAATCCTTGTGGTGACGTATCAGTTCTCTCTTGTGAACATCTACTTCCCAGTAGTCAACCACAGGATATGCATGTTCAGCTACATCTTCATCACTATTGTGGTCAACAGAGATATGACCATATTCATAGTGAGTGAAGTGAGAGTAAAAACTCTTCTCGCGCCGAGTCTGCAAATTCACGTCAGACAGATACCATGCAATATCTTGGAAGTCCAAGACAAGATGAGTACTGGCTGCAACCTTCAACTCCAAATACTTGATACCAAGAGGCACCGATGTTAGATAAGCATGTTGAGGTGTCAGCCTGAGTTCAAAGCCTAAGTTCCTCATCTGTGGCAAGCTCATAAGCAAAGGGACTTCTCCTTCTTCCACTATGTCGAACTCTGTATGGTGGATCGTCCATGCACGATCATACATGTAAATCACCAGTTTCTGAGAGCAAGTAGCCTTCTGGGAATTGGCAAAGAAAAAACTTGCTCTTGGTAGCCTCAAAAGAGTACCATAATCCACAATCTGGGTGATTGTCGACATAGTTGCAAAAATGGTCGACTGCTCGCCTTGATCCCATAGCTCTAGTGCATCCAATGTCCAGGATTGCAATAGTCGGCGGGGAGCGATTTTCAGTCAAAAATGAAATGGCCTGCATCTCCTTCACTTCTTCCTCAGCGCTCATAAGCGCAAAGCCATCAGGAGCCTTTGTGAGCATCTCCTTTGACAATGAGTACCTCACAGGGGCACCCATGCCATCGAAGATCGTCTCACCATTGTTGACCGCGCAGTCAGCTTCATCTTGACATGAGGTCATCATGCCTGACAGCAAGTCCACCTCACTGTCATGGACTTCAGCTGCTGCTGTCACACAATGTGCAAAGAAACCTTGTTGACCTCCTGATGCTTGTGAAGATCTTGAAGGTGCAGGTAAAGAACGTGGCTGTTGTTGATTTGCATAATTTGCATCTTGTTTGCCATCTCCTTTATCTTTTCCTTTTCCTTTCTTGCCTTTTCTCTTGCCTTTTCCTTTTCCTTTGTGGGAAAACCATGCTTCTTCAAGCTGTTGCCAAAAGTCATTGGCATCATCATATTCTCCTTGAAGATAGTCATTCATATCTTCGGCAAGAATGGCATCATATGCTACTTGGTTTGACTCCCAAGATCTCCCAAGTGTCCTCATAAGGATTCTCTTCAAAGTACTCTTCTGGATATGTTGTCTGTTGCTCATCAGCAAAATGGCCTTTACCTCGTCTCTTTCCTTTTCCTTTTCCACGAGGTCTGAAGAATCTGCGGCCTGATCTTCCTTTACCTTTTCCTTTTCTTCTTCCTTTTCCTTTGCCTTTTCTGGCTCTTCTTCCTTGGAATCTTCTTTGGAACCACGAGAAGTTTTGATCATCATATACCCAAAAGACATCGTCCAGGGCATCTAAAAATCCTTCTGTTCCATCTTCTTCATCTTCGGCCCAATAGCCAAATGTACCATCGAGTTCTCCTTCATCTAGTACGAGAAATGATCTTCTACCTCCAGCACCTGTCGGCTGCATCAAAGGATTGTCTACTGAAGTCTTTGTCGTGCAGAACATCTCGATGAACACTGTCCTCAACTCTGTTGTAGTGTATTGCTGCAGGACCCTGCCACGATGAGTCATCAAAGAAGTCAAAGTGTTTCGCTGGTCCTGAGACAAATCTGCAAGTGACAGCATGAGTAAGGCAATGAGATTTTCTCCTAGAGGAAATTCGTTCTGATGAAAAGTCCTCATATTGCCATTGATGGTCTGCATGATTTCCTGAATCCTTTCTGCCGTTGGTGCTACTCCAGTCAACGCTGCATCTGCCTGCATCTGAGCTAGGACTTGTGGATGTGCTTGAGTGACTGGTTCTAACATGTCCATCCAACTGCTCATAAGCCTTTGGAGTAAAATCTGGAATCTTGTCATCCGTTTCATCATGTCAGCTGATCCTCGATTGAAGCGCACAAATTTGCATAAATCTATACAGGAATACATTGGTTGATCCTTTCACGAAATATGGTCGTAGTACTCGTTTGAAATATTCTACGCCGGCTCCTGGTGGATCATTTGCCTTCAATGCATCTCTGTCTAAAACACGCTTGTATACAGCTGCTTCTCCTTCTAATCTGTTTCTCAATGCTGGTCCTCTCTTCTCATCTTCCAGCTCGGTGATATCACACCAATCGTCTATGGCATCCTCATAGGAAAACCATGAAGTCTTTCCATCATAAGATGGGGGCACCTTTGTAGTGACCTGTGTTGTCATTGCTATTGCTGCTGGTTCTCTTCTCACATGCCTATTCACGTAGGCTGCTGGCTCATAAGCCACATCCGCATCAGGCTCTTCCCAGTCGTCAATCCAATCCATGGCTGTTTGCCCACAAGCAATTCTATGCCTAGGAAAGGAGCTCACCTGGGTCTTCCAGGATCACTGCTCCGCTACCACTGAAAGAGTGACTAGGGCGTACACGGTAGAGGTGCAGACCGCTAGTGTCTTTTATGCGCAGAGTCTTATCCTCTTGCTCTTTGAGCCTTGAAGCAGTCAAGCATGGACACACTATATCGGCTGTTGGAGTGGAACCCTGTACAGGTAGGCTCTACTTTTCAGGGGGGGGGGTCTGTATTGAAAAATCAATTCCAAGGGGGGGGGGTCTGTATTGAAAAATCAATTCGGGGGGGGGGGGTTGAATTGAATGATCAATTATTAGACCCGGACTCGCCGACACTTGCTTCGCAAGTCAAACTCAAGGAATCCCCTAAAGGGCTACCTTTCGTGACCAGGGTCCTAGTTCAGGTCTCTCAACCTCTCTTGGTCTCCAAACTCTGAAATTCCCAGCATATGATGGGCCCATCATGGTGCAAATCTCCCAGACAGAGAGACATGGAGAGAAAACTGACAGGCCCATGCAGGAGGTGGAGGTACCGAACATTCCCAAGGGTCGTTCATGTTCGTACACAACAGCAAAACAAACATAGTCATAGTCCCGAGACCCTGCATCACAATGCGAAGTGTTGCTCGGGTGCGAACCCGCTTTTGCCCTACAAAAGCCAGTTACCAGCTGGCTCAACAACACATCGAATCAATGCGGGACCTCAATTGAAAAAACTGTAGCTGCGCTGAGAAGTCCAGCGGTCTGGCTTGTCATTGGCTTCAACCAATGGCTGGCGCTTTTTTTGAGTCGCCATGACGCCTTGACCCGCCCCATGACAAGCTCACACACTGCGGGTTTAGCATCGCAAAGATCCAGGTCAGAGCCAAATTGGATGAGGCACTCGAGCAAATCCTCAGCCAAATCGAGCGGAACATGAGCAAGTTAGGGACGGAAACGACTTCAAACATGAGCAACAAGGGTTTTCAGCAACTACGTGAGCTACTGACAGCTACGAGTACTGACAGAATGAGGAAGTTCCTCCATCACCTCAGCTTCTCGATCAGCTGAGCCGAACCATTTTTGGCTTGCCAGAAGGGGAACCACCCTCCAAAATAACTCAAGGTGGGCCACTCCCTTGGCAAAATGACGAAAATCCTTCCATCGCTGTGGATCTCCATGACTCCGGCTGATTCCAGCTGCACCTGTGAAATGTGTTTGACAAGGCACATCCAACATCTTGTCCTCGAGGTGACCAAACGAACCTTTTCCCTATAGAGATCAGCGGACCACGGTTCCCGTCGCTGTGACCCGCAGTGACTTGCAGCACGATCACACACACACACACACACCTCCCGCATACCCTTCAGACATGCCACGCGGGCATCACGGGTGGCTGCGATCCTGGGTGGCCGATGCCACGATCCCAACAAACGCGGAGGCCGAGGCCGATGCCGATAGCTAAAAGGTGCAAGAAATGTGTAAGGCCAGGAGCTACGTTCGTAGTGTCCTGGCTCCTACTAGCAAGGCCAGGAGCTCCTAGTAGCGATGCCCTTGTTCCTATAGTAGCATATGATGGCACGAAGACTCAAGGATCCCCAAAAACTCCAAAAAGGCTCCAAGTAGCTAGAAGGTGGGACTGTGACTGGGCTGGGTTTGCTACACGGCCATCCATGAACGACTCCAAAAAGAGACTTGTGACTGGTTGCTACAGTAGCATGCCCCAATGGCCTCGCATGGCCTCACCAGGTAGCCCCAGCTCTGTTCCTGTTCCTCGAGAGGTCAGCCCTTGGGACGATGCGCCAGAAGGCAAAAGGTAAGCTGCGTGTGTAGGAAGGGTTTCACCCTTCAACATACCTCTTATAGCTTGTTCATGCTTATGAGCTCACAATTTAATTTGTCCGATGTTCTTCTTCGTGCTTTTGGACTGCACTTACACCTCAAAACACCGTTCTTCAGGGCGCCAAACAGACTCACCCATCAGCTGAGTCGCATGAGAGGTGTCTTGCCATCCTCGTCTGCCTTCGGAAAGCGACACTTTTGACCGGGCTCCTCAACATGAAAGCCAAGCCTACTGCCAAGCCTCTATACCAAGCCAGCACCCTTGAACAAGTCTCCTCTTGATGCAGTGGGTGCTCTACTACCCTGCAATCTTCGGAAGTGGAGATTCAACAAATATCACACAAATACATGTCCACTTCCATCCACTTCTCTGAAATCAGCCTGACATCTTCCATCCTCTTCCTTTTCAACAGCGAATCCTGTTTTCGGGGACCATTTCTCCTCTTCCTGTTCAGGGCACTCTTCCGGGCACTCCGCTTCGGTTCAGAACGACCTCGCTTCGGCCTGGTTCGCATCCGCGCGCTGGCTGAGAAGGCACTGCACCATGTCCACCTGTTGAAACAGGGCGAAGGGGCGCTACTGTGGAAGGATTCAAAAGTCCTCCCATACTGGTCCTCCCATATGAGGTGAGCTCCGGCATATGGTGGTAAATGTACTGTGATCATCTGTAATCTAATTAAGACTGTAAACATGTAGTCATCAACAAAACGAGTAGGAATTTCGAGTCAAACTCAACCAAGCTTGATCATTCCACTCGTCCAGCTTCTTCAGTTCCTGACCTTTCAGATCCGATCTTTGACCGGGTTGTTGCTCAACGATTAGATGGCTGCCACATCAAATCGCCCAGGTGAGTCCGACGAGATTTAGGACTGAGCAAACGGCCTGAGGGAGTCATTTTTCGACCAAAACAGCTGGGCTCCACCAATGTGTAAAGCCCTATCTCCTCGAACTTGCAGAGGGTCCGGACCCGAACCAGACCCTTCTATATTGGAGAGGGACCCAGGTTCTAAGAATTCCTTCGCTACCGAGAAGCCATGTTCATGGACACCGCCAGCATCAACGGCGTGCGCCCTTGCGCATCGGGCAGGTCCAACCGGGCGCCCGCCTAGAGGAAGAGGAAAGAGACGAAGACGACTGGAAGGTGAGGCCCTAAGAAGGGGTCGGGCCCTCACCATGTCTGGAAAAAGGTTGGATATCTGAATCATAAGAACAAGCATATGGATATAAGTTGACTGAGGAAGCTATAGAAATCATCAGAGATGGTACAAGTATAGAGAGTATTGGCGCCAATTCGGTGCGCAGCCTCGGTCTTGGAAAGGCCATGCACGGCGCACCTATATAGTACTACCAGCCCCGACGGCCAACAGGTCAACAATTGAAACCTGTCTTCGGGCCCTTCCCAATCCTCCATTTCGGAGACCTGTTGGTTTCGGTGCTGGTATACATATTGACCTACATTTGCATTTTGCTTCTTCCATCGGCTTCATCTAGAATCTAGAGGCCACTCTTCTAGGAATCTTCAATGAAGTGCCCCTGCTTGGTGGCCACTGAGGACCTCCAGAGCTGCGAAGCGCTGCGAACCCCAAGTTCAAAAACGATTCCCTCTTGTGTTTGTCTCAGCCTAGCGGCTTAGCACCAAAAGGACGCGAAGCAACCAAGACCATCTATAATAGATCAAAATATACAGTCTAAAGCCTGACTGGCGAGAGGTGAGAAGATTCGAGCGGTAAACCCACCCCACTACCCGACCACCATGAATACCGCACCAAGGAATCCACACCTCGAGCAGCAGCAGGGCGCCATCCGTATCGCCCAAGCGTGCTGCCGCCTGCAGTGGCGTCCTGAAAGCGCTGGGCGCGGGAAGTGACTGGAGCGGGCCATTTTCCAGCCTCCACGTTTGGGACGGGTGAACCGTACTGGAGATGCCAAAGAAAAAACAGGAAGAACTCCACGAACTTGAAACATCGCAACAACCACAATCTTTGATTGAACTTTGGGTAAACATGGGTGTTTACCACGAAGGGCGTGGGGGTTCCCTATAGTGAGCCGCTCAATTCCCGAAAACAATCGCACTTCAGCACACCCCAGGTCGCGCAGAAATTCAAGCTAACCAAGCCACCGAGTGCCATCGAAGTCATTGGGGTCCTGATGTCGAACACCCGCAGCGCTTTATGTGTTCACCATTCTTCCGATGTTTCCTCTATGGCTCACTGTGACGGAGCTATCTGGGACTAGGCAGAAATTATGGCGTGTCTGGAAGCCACTCGAAGTGTAATGGATGATTACTGTTGTCATTGTCACTTGGGGTGGTTGAAAAAGAGTCAGGCAAATATATACCGCGGAGGGCCTCGCTATAGCGTCCCCCTTGCACCTCTGAATCTGAGGTGCTTGAAAAAGGGCCGGTCAAACCCATGCTACAAAACTCATCTGAGAAGCTGGCTTTGAAAGGACCGCGCCATAGCCTCAATCAACACACAGTCTGGGCTCTGGTTTCAGAGAAACAGACATAGCTACCAAGTGGTAGACGCCTGTCGCAGTTTGCTTTGCTGCACTTTGTTTTAGCACCCTCAAATTTTTTCCGGTCTCGAACGGCACAGAGAGGCATCCTCCCAGGCTGCACTTCAAAAGCTGGAGGTTCCCTTTCCTCCGCACTTCTTCTGTCTTGAAACTCACTCACTAAGTCACTAAGTTCCGCCCTCTGCGCGCAGAACCGGAAAAATTCGTCACACAGCCCGCAGATCGCCCATTGGATGTTACATTCACACGCACACATTGGGACTTCAGTGGAACAACCCGGGCGCGCACTTCCAAGGATAAGATTAAGATTGCGGCATCCCACGGAAAAAAAACATCCAGCTCTGCTGGCCGTCTCAGATTGCGGCAACGGTGCTGGGAAACAACGTGTGACAAAAGCTGCTCCAACGTTTCCAAAGGTTCCTGCAAGGTTCCGTGTGACGGTGCGCGATTGTTTTGATGGTTGCCGAACTCCTATATACGTGCGAGATGCGATGGTACCACGGCCCAAGTTAGTTGTCTCGAGATTATACCAGCATAGACCCCAAACAGTTTCAGCACGATTCGTTTGGACCTATATTAGCTATTAGTCAAAAACGATTTCTTGGTATGCCTTACCTTCCCCCGAGAGCGAACTGCTTTATCAATGATTTTGGTCGGCATCAATATCGCTAATTATCCGCTAATTGTTCGGCGACAAGAGAAGGGCAGGACAAGAGAAGACAAGAGGAGGGCAAGACCAAGTCACGAAGCCCGGCCACAGATTTCAGGGGCGCGGCCAGTCAGTGTGTCCAGGGCGGTCAGCGCGGCCAGAGGACAAGAGAAGGACAAAAGGAGGACCACAGTAGGACAAGAGGATGGCCAGTCAGCGTGGCCAGCTCTTTTCTTCTAAGATAGAACCCCAACAGTAAACTGTTTGGTGAAAATTGAGCACCATAGATGGGGAGAATCTAGACTAGGTCCTATGGAATAAGTTCCTGTTGGTTCTTTACCTGTTACGCAACAAACACATTTGTCTTTGTTGGAAACGGAAAAGGGAAGATCTTACATCTGCCCATGACAAGCAGCTACGCAGCTACATGCGGCACCACGCCGTCCACTGCAAAGTCAGCTGCTGAAGTCCGGTCTGCGCGCTTCTCAAAAGTCATTCGGGCATGCGAATGCACCCTCTTGACGTCTCCCCCCGGCATGGGTCGACTCTTCCAACGTCAAAGAAATGTGAAGGATCCGCTCCTGGAACTTTTGCTGAACCAACTCAGTACCCCAGCGTCGGAACTCGGCCACTTGCACCACCCCCTCCGCTGCAAACCATTCTTCAGTCGTTTGATTTTGCGACCTCCTTCCCAGCTTATTAAAAGTCAGCTGTGCATCGGCACCGTGCACCCGGAAAGGTTTAGTGGAGCGGGCTACCCCACATTGGAGCGGACGGCCCACAGCTTGTTCATAAAAAGCCACTTGTTCCTCAAGGGTCCGCAACTCATCAGCTTCCAAGAGACCTCAAGCAACCAAATTTTGGAGCACTCTACCACTTGACAGCCAAAAGTCCCCCACAAGCGAGGCCAAAAAAACAATGTAGCGCCATCCCGCTTTTCTGCAATGGGCTTTTGTCAGAATTGCAGAATCAGCAAAAATGCAGACGATAAACAGAAAGGGAAAGGAGTTATAAGAATGCCACGCTTCCCTTGCACTTCATCATTCAAGAAAAATGCCAGAAGGCGCCTCCACAAGAGAACTCTCAGAAACCCGTTTTCGTGGAATGAATTTCTGGGAACCTTTGTAACTGCCAGCGACCTAGCGGTGGGCAAACGCGGCCACCTTCGATCTAACACAGTGGCCTTATAAACACTATTCTCGTACATAGCCCAAAATACGACTACAAAGTCCGTCAGCAAAAGCTACAAACAAAATCCTTGTGCTCACGTCCAGCGCGAGGCACTTGTCGCAATTGGGCGACGCACGCCGCCAACACGGCCACACCCGCATCCTTGTTCAAAACATCTGGACTGAACATATTCGAGGCACTAATCCCGACTACCAGTTTAAAAACGGACTCAAATAGAAAAGAATTCAAGTCGGAACACCCTAAATACGGTTTATATTCGTTATTGAATTACCGCCCATTAAAGCCGCTACTAAACTACCAACACGGTCGATTTTGGATGAGTTTTGTTCAAAAAGCAACCAATAAAGCTTTTGTAGCGTAAAAAGGAAGACCCCTTGTTCTGATTCAATTTTTGATACAAGTTTGATGAACAAAAAATATATATAAAACTGTCCTGGGTGATTTTTTGGTTCTGAAGCTCTTCCCAAGTCACCCTATTTAATTTTGGACAACCCCGATTTCAGGGACCCCGTACTAAAAACTGTGAACGAGGTTCCCTTTAATAGGCGCACAGGATTACTCAAGCGGCATATCGCCCGCACGGCACTTCGGCGGTTTTGCCTCTGCTCTGGCGTCTCACATCTATTCAGCGGCATGATGCCGCAACTTGAGCCTCACAAACATCAATTGTGTGTAAACGCAAAATCCCAGCCTCTACGGCTACTGTTCAGTGGTAGTAGTAGTAGTAGTCGTCGTCGTCGTAGCAGTAGTAGTAGTAGTACTACTACTACTAGTAGTAGTAGTGGTGGTAGTAGTAGTAGTAGTGGTCGTCGTCGTAGTAGTAGTGGTAGTAGTAGTGGTCGTCGCCGCTA